TTGAATCTTTCCAACTTAGTTTCAACTATACATATAATTAAATTATATATGACATATACTTAAACTACTTACTATGATTTGCCCAGATAAATATATAGTTAATCCAGACTACGCTCAGAAACTAGAGCAATAGGACTTAATGTCTCAAATGAGTCAGTTTTTTAACCATGTGAGCTTAATGATAAATAATTATCCTACACCAAATCCACAGATGGCATAACTTGTAAGTTATCTGCTTTATTATGGCAAATCTGACACTACAAACTTGTAAATTATTCACGTGTACAACATGAGATGAATTAACCAACGTTAAAGTTAAATGTCTAAATCAATATATAGTAGTTGAAATGAATGATGCATATGCAAGATATGTCAAATTTAAATCCCACACTGAGCTTGTTTTGTTTTAAAATCGTCAACAAACTAATACCTTATAACTGATAGCTAAACATTGACCACTTTATGAACCTTCAATCCGATGGACTTCTCATCTTTTGAGATATTGCCTTATATTGTTTGTATTTTTGTTTGAAAACTTTACACAGAAGACTACACATTTTATCATGTCAAATCGATCAAAGATTTATTAAATCTAAATAAATTGACCGGTAGAATAATTTATTAAACCGATAGATATATACGAGTACAACGTTATAAAATGTGTCTAATGTGGCAAAATTTCTGTACTTGATTAAAACAGTCAAACATTAATTCGTGAAACTTCTAACGTTTAACAACAATAAGTAACTTTTTATCATTCACTTTATAATCATGAAAAGGTAGAAACATGTATAATGTTCTTTTATAATTAAAACAGGACCACTTTTCGTTTGCCAAGTCAAGTCAATAAAAGAATCTCGGGAACGTAAACTGACTTTCTAATAATTTATATCAATGCATGGTTTCTGTGAGGGAGATCCAAGTACTTATATTAGAGCTGTTGCAAAATGAAAAAAGTCGTAATGGAACGTAATTAAATCTGGAAGTTATTGTAATAAAGAAATAAAAGTTCTTTATTGATTATTATTGAAAGCAATATAATAAAGTGTTAAAATGTTTTTTCTACCTAATTTTGTCTACGCAAAATAACGAAATGGTTAATTACTACTGCGAATAATCATTGATGAGAAAGAATGGCAATTAATATGTAGAAAATACACATATTGCGGCGACGTGCTACTGACTTTAATTGCTTTAAACAGATATATTACAAATATGATAATGATAAATATGATATAATAAATAAGATATAATTCTGTTCTTAGTCGTAATCTTTAACTAAATCCTGTATAATGGCCTTATCCTTATTCACCATTTCTTTACTTGTTCAACGACATATAAAAAACCTGGCTACTTAATTAACAATATGTTGTACAGAACGTGACAAGGAAAGTGTGAGTCACAACATTATGTTTAAAAGATGTATGTACACAATGTAGCATGTATATTCGACAAATAACACATTTACCCTATGGTTAACAAATATAGATAGATAGATATAATTTATTGACGTATACATGTTTGTACATAGTCACAATAAGAAACACGTAATACATAAATCATAAGTCATGGTACGATCATATTGAAAACAAACATTGTTTAAGGAAAGTATATATGGAGAATGTTCTTAAATCCATATTTAAACAATACAAAGTTGGCATTACTCTTACTAAAAAAATGCAAAAATGACTTTCATATATTTAATATGTAGTGAATCAACGATTAAAATTACATGATAAATACCATACTGTCGCTTTTTAATGAGCAAAATTATCATGCGCATACTGGTAAAAATAGTCTTTAAATGGTAATATTAATAAGGTCATATCGACGCTTAGTAGCAAAGATGATGTATTTAGCAAGTCCAATTAATTCGGATTTATTTTTTGACTTCAAAAGCTGCAAAAATTTAAACATACTCGGCCTTCTGTAAAAATATGGCTTAAAGAACTCCCTACGTAATGCAGTATAACAATTGCAAATGATAATAAAATGAAATTCATCATCAATTTCTTGAAGATTACACAATTGGCATTTTCTTCCTGAACGAGGATGTCTTTAGAACCATATTTCTTTGCCTCTATCTTTATGAGAATATAACCTAATACGAGATAAATTTTGTATGTTGTCTAATTAATTATTTAGATAAAATGCAGATCGAAATTTGTCAATCAAATGTACATACAGACTAGATAATAGTGGACTAGACTGAATGTCTGCATTTACCTTTTGTTTATAAAACAATCAACTAATCTACGTTTGAATATTTCAACAAACTCTTTTGGGCTGTATTGCAATGGGTTGAGCCATACATCTGTGAATCCATATTCATTTAAAATAGAATGAACCTTAGCTGCCCAGGAGTTATATCCATTATCATGAAGACTTATTGATGAATAAAAAGCAGACTTTAAGATATTATTATTTGAATGAAGAATATGTAACCAGAATCTTATTATTTGAACATATCTTTGAACATAAAGAGGATATCGGCCTAACTCCGAATAAACTGCTGCAGTACATGTACTGTGTTTTACGCCTAACAATGACTTGCAGAATTTCAAGTGAATCCTTTCTATATCCTTAGATTTTGTAAAACCCCATATTGCACAAGAATAATTTAGTGTTGAGGAAACAAACGCATCAAAGAGTTGGAGTGAAACGGAAGGGGTCACATCATATTTGTTAATATTACGAAGTAAAACATTTTGGGCTTTCATAGCTTTTCCTATAGCATACTGATTATGAAGTTGAAAAGACCCCGTATAATTAAAGACTACACCCAAATAGTTGAAGTTATCAACAGTCTCTAATAAAGTATTGTCGTATGACCATTTTTCATTTTCTCTGATGCTTCCCCTCTTCCTAAAAACCATTGTTTTAGTTTTATCTGTGTTGACCTCTAGGCCCCATTTATCACAATAAAGCTTTAAATTATTTAGATTCGATTGCAATTCTTCAATTGACTTTCCAAATATGACCATATCGTCGGCAAAAAGTAAAATAATCATACATATATCATAAAAAGTGAAACCCTTATCGTTATTACTATCATCATTCCTTAAGTATTGTTCCAGATCTTCCAGAAATAAAGCAAACAAAATCGGTGAATTATTTTGGCCCTGTCTTAGACCAATAGAAATATCAAAAAAGTCTGACAAAGTATTACAGTGCTTAACACAGAAGACACCGAAGAGTACATATCTCTAAAAATCCTGATCAATTTTACCATCTAGTCCGAGATTAAAAGTTATACCAAAGAGCATTACGATAGATTGAATCGAAGGCTTTTTATGTCAATAAAACAACAATAAAGACGTAAATTTTTGGGATAGTATTCGTTCCACTAAGAGTGCAAAACAAAATTGCATCAACGGTGCTTACACCTGAACGAAAACCGAATTGTGCGTCAGATTGTATATTGTTATCACGCGCCCAATTTTCAACCCGTTTTGTTAATACCTTTGTAAATAATTTACCAAAATTGCTAATTAATGTTATTCCTCTATAATTATTAGGTACCCTCTTATTTCCCTTTTTATATAATGGTACGATGTAACCATAAGACCATACTTTTGGGAAATGACCGGAATTAAATATAGTGTTAAAACAGTCAGTGATATGACCGATAAGTATGTCGGACGTCTCAATGAAAAACTCATTTAATAAATTATCGGCAGGACATGGTGCCTTATTTCGCTTAAGATCTTTAATTGCCATTAGTATTTCATTAGACGTAATAGGCGTATTCAGGCATTCAAAAGATGGGTTATTTATATTAAAGTCTGTTTCAGAGATAAAACTTTCTGCATCTTCTATACGTGTAGATCTTATATCATTGAACAAGCTAGAAAAATATTCACGAAATTCTTCAGGTTTTACATCGTTTGAACAATTTTCAAGTTTTGGCTTAAAATGATTCCAAAATTGCTTTGGTTTTGATTTACGAAGTTCGCATAATTCGCGCGACTTTTTAGTCTTAAACACTCTTTTTTTTCTTGCGCATTAAAAGTTTATAAGAACGTTTACGCTCTAAAAGTAATTGTCTGTTATCTATTGATTTGTTTCCATTAAATGAATTAAGCGCTAAAATATACAGTTTCTTTGATTCTACACACTCGCGATCAAACCACTCTATATTACATGATGTATCATGCATATTGCATGATATCCGCGAATGTTTAAAGTACGGTTCGGCCACTTCTTCAATCAACGAGGAAAAACCCTCAACTAAATTATCAATAGAAAGGCTCTCCGATGTACCGTTACTAAGTAGAAGTGCATTAAACTCGGGAAGCTTTGAAATGATATCACGTCTAAAGTTTATCTTGTGATCATCTGACCATTTATAAAATGTATACTCCGAGGTATTTTCATAATCATTTATATTTTGACTACTTATCAAAGAATTAATATCAATTTCAAAGAAGAGTGGTGCACGGTCACTGTATTCGTTAAACGGTAACAGTTGAAATGTATTAATCCGCTTAAAATCTTTATCATTCAAAACCAAATAGTCAATTGTAGTACATGATCGTTGGTTAAAAAATGTGAACGAACTGGTATCACCAATTCTACCCCAGCAGGCACACGACGTTGTTTCAACGTTGAAACAACGTTGAAATATGGTCGTGACGTTGTTCAACTATGGACGACCATACGGATATATTGCCAATGTATATACAACGTTGATTCAATGTTGTTTATGGTCGAAGTTTTACATTTAGTTTAATCATTATATAAACCTTTATACCACTAATTTTGTGTTATTATTCCAGTTTATTGAATTAGTCTGTAAGTGATTTTTGTCAGGAAACTTGCGTTACAATCTTTTTCCGTATATTCAAAATTAGCGCTTAAACAAATAAAGTTGGAAATAATTTTTCACTTTATATTAACGCTTTAAATGTTAGTTAATATGTTTTGTTGTTTTTTGTTGTTTTATTTTTTAGTTCTTTATGAATAATATTAATTAATAAATTGATATTAGTCAAAACTAACGATGGTCAGGGGAAGTAATTGTTGAAGTCTATGATTTTGTTTGTTTGTCTATGATTATCGTTCGTGCAAATGGTGGCGCTGTTTGGAAAATTTGAAAACAACACGATTCGCAATTTATTTGGATTTCGAAGGTATTACCGTAATCATGGTAATGTTTTACTTTAGTTTACTGATTATTTTCTAAGATATTATTATTTATATTTAAAATTCTACTTTAATTTACTTTATGAAATAAATGAGAGATGAAAACACATGATTGAGTTTATTTGACACGTTTTCGCGACCTAATTGAATGATTTGGGTTCGGTAGGCCTTGTTAGCATGAAGTTATTGATGTCCTTGGCAATTTATAATTTTACAAACCTTGTCTTTCTTTAATTTATTTTTCATATTATTAAACATTTGTCTGTACTATATCCTAATTAGAATTTAATCAATTATAAAATTGAATTTGAAACCTATTAAGTAGTTCGGCCCACACAATTTACGTCCCAAGACAATATATATATAACTATGTCTATGTTTATATTTTAGTGATAGTATTATACAGTGTTAATTAGTTTGAAAAAAAAATACATTATTATTAAGTTAAATAGAAAACAAAGTTGAGTGTTAAACTTTAAAGTTGAATAGTCGTAAATTTATAGGGAATAATAAATCTATTTCTATTTTATTATATATTATTTTATATTCTAGATCCTGGTCCTGGCTGAAATTTAGAGTATTGCAGCTGTAGTCTGTATACCATACACTCAACATGAAAAGGAATGTCAGGTTTGTTAAATTGAAATTAATTCTTATTAATTTATATATTTGAATTTATTTACAATACAAATTATAAATTTTTCACCTACTGGATATTTATCTTGTCTTAAAATATATTATTTCTGAATATTCCTGTAACATTATTAATATAAAATATACATGTTTGTTGATTTCAGGATGCTGCATAAAATGGTCTTAGCTAGAGCCTAGAATGTTAATTTCTTGGGACTATGCTGCAAGGAACTGACGGGGAGCAGTTTTTCTTACCAATCATAGGTGAGACTTTTAAATAGCTTCTTTTTAAAAAGATTTTGTTGTCTTATATACAGTATTTGCTGTCAATATGAAACTTAGCTATGTTTCAATTTCTATGCTCTTTTATGGTGTAAATCTATGAGAAAAGCATTTTAAGATAAAAACAAATCACTAAGTTGAGTAATTATATGTATAATTTGAGATTGACCAAGTCAACAACTTCTTATTTTTATTTGCAGAAGCAGTAAGAGACAGCCAAAGAAGTACTCGAACACCTGAATTTATGCTGCACTTGAACTGTATTTTTTTAATAAAATATCTGGAGTATTTAATATTGTCTTGATATTTTGTTAAACTTGGTAACTTTGCTTTATATCCAAAAACTAAAGTATGGTGGGTTTTCAACGTTGAAATGACATTGAAACTTCAACGTTGTACCAACGTTGAAGCTGCAACGTTGTATCAACGTTGAATTTTCAACGTTAACTTTCAAATCCGAATATAAATCCAACATTTTTTCAACGTTGAAATCTGACCATAATTCAACGTTGAAACAACGTTGATGTGCCTGCTGGGACCGTTAGCTATTCGCAATGATGTGGACTTACAAAAATCAAGCATACGAAACCCCCATATATAACCACGCATTAAAAGGATAAGTATTTCAAAACCAAAAATAGTTGTGTTTCTCATGTCAAAATAACCAATATATTAACATTTTTCTGTACAAGTGATATCAGCAATCGATATATAAATCATACCTGTTTGAAAATCCTTCGTACTTTAGAAAACTGTCCTCTAATTGGAATGTAACCACCAAAAATAATCAGTGAGTAGCCTTCAAAAAATATTTCAATAAACTAACTGCACTATAAACAAATATTTGTTATAAATTGTTTGTAAAATGTTTTAGTTATACTTCTAAAATATTATCGCCTAACAAAGTTTGTAACCATTCACGCCGAATATACAATTTACCACGTATGCATATAACATGTTTTATTTACATCAATAGTGAATGAACTGGCTGCAAGATAAACAGATATAATCTATAAAAGATTATTTTTGTTATACCTACATTGGAAATGCAATAACCCACTTACTTATGCTAGCATTAAATGATAGTTCTCATGTAAACCCCAGGCATATAGGCTGTACTGGTTATGTGTCATTGAAGTATTTTTTTTTTAATTAGGAGTGTAAATAACGAAAATAACCTGAACTTTCATTACATCTATGTTTCATTCAAAGTTTAATTCCAGTTGAAAAAAGTACATTTTGTGTAAAAGAATAAATACCACTTAAGCGGTGCTAGGGGCGTGATAGATGGTGCATTTTAACAGTATCGCTTCTCAACAGGTGATTTTAACAGACAGCTGATATACTGAATAAAATGTAAATAAATACCATAAACTATACAAGAATGACAATCATATTAATTTTTTTTTGCCATTTTAATCAAATTATTAAAATTTCATGAATAGAAGTAGTAATGTTTATTTGATGAAATATTAGATTCTGAGAAATTGATCGTCTGATATGTGATAATTAACGATGACCTCGCCTTTTCCATTTGAAAACTTTTCAATGAAAAGCCATCTACAATTTCATCATATTAGCGTCATGCGACTTGATGTCCCACGATAAGCATGAATGTATGACACCAGTAAGTTAATTCACACTTACTAATGTCAGATTGTCCGTTATTTATTAATTATATATAACAATTCAGTATTGTTCAAATTGATTTACTGAGTGCTGTATAGGCAATCAAAACTGTTTCACTGATTGCTTTGTGTAATTGGATCAAACAATAAAAATGTATCGACAAATTGGTCTGGCAAATTTCATCTTTTTTGTTGCAAATATTTGTATTTTAGAATATTAGGAATGTATATATAACATAGAATAAAAGTTTTTTTATTTGTACTAAAGTAAAGAACTAAAATTGCGAAATTTTGAAAACGAATATTAAATGTTTTACTATAGTCTGTCCCATCAAATTTGAACATTCCATTTTTTATTTAATATAATAGTAAAATCATTTAAATTAATGTCATCCTAACCCTGACGTCAATATCTCTAGGCATGTTTTTCATTTTTTTCATAAAGTCAGTAATATTGTCAAAATATTAAAATTACACTTTTTCCCGTTGACTTACGGTTTAACCTGACGTGACGTCCATTTCAAAATGGCGGCGCCCATATAGACGTCATTTAGGGTTCGTCTCACAATTACGGTGAAATGTACTCGTTAATTATAAAAAATTTGATTATATTTATTTACTTACTGATCAATAGCTAAATGTTATCATTAAAATGAAAAATGAGAACAAAGTTGGTGTCAAAAAGGCAATTTTACTAGCAAACTATTATTAAAATAATCAAAATCATTTAAAGCTAAAATATCGCTAACCGCTTTATAAATTCTTACACACATCAATTAATAACCATGATAAACTGTCGTATTTTTTAAGATAAAAAAGAACAATGAAGTGATTTGATTAGATAGCTTTCCAATAAAGTGCGTATCTTACCGCAGCATGTCGTAGGGAGCGGGAACACTAGCTAGAATATGATAAACAATATCAACAAGGAAAGGCGGCGTTCAATGAACGTAAACCCCACATGGCCCAGCTAGAAGACTATAAAAAATGGTTCTTTGCTAATTAATGTTTAATTTACACAATTCTTTAGTTGTCTGAATTCTGTCCATTAGTATGTATCACTTCTATTCAAAAATAATTAAATTGACCAGGTTCGATGGGATACAAAAATATGTTACCCTTCTTATTTCGGGTGCGATGTCCGTGCGCTAAAACTTTCCGTAGGTTTCAACTTTCACAAAAAATCGCCAACAAATACTACATTATCATGTAAATCTGACAAGAAATATATAGAAAGGAAAACTGATTCACTATATGTTCAGTATTGCTTTGCTTGTTACCACAGTGTCTACTTTAAGTAACTCCCTGGCTAATGAGAGAACACAGACTTGCGTTCGAGGAAAATGTTAAATTATAAGAATATAATATCATGCTTTCTAGTTTTAGCAATCAAACGTAGGCCTATACACTTTAAGTTTGTAAATACAAATTTAACTTCCCGTGTCACAATTCAACAAAATGTCAGTGATTTCACTGATTTGATATTATTAAGAATTGGAGTGTTCAATAAGCGACAATAAGTGTGTTTTTTTTAGACTCAAAGTGTTACATATAATTATTATGTTAATATGAAGGGGAGATCGAGTCAAAGAGAAACACCGAGTGACTTTCTCAATAATTTTAGCCTTCCTAAAATTTAAAAATATTCAGTGAAAATACAATAGATCTAGCATATTTTTCGCGGGAGAAAAATACGGCATATTGTATATTTTGTAGCTAAAATAGTAGGATTTACAGAAGTCATGAAAAACGATATTATATGTAGGGAAATTATTTCTGAGAAATATGTAAAATAGTTTAAAACATAAAATCAAAACGAATGTAATATGTAATTAATGGAAGAAGTATTGTACTGTTGTAGATTCATGTCAATAAGTGTGTTTAAAATTATCTAGATGATCTAAATGTTATCAAAAGTTTTATTATTCATATATGAATTGAAGGTGTATTTTTACAGTTAAGTTGCAAAATCTGGGTATACAAAAATTATTTTAAATTTCATCAAGACAAATTCATCTCAACGCTTAAAATTATCTGTTTGAGGTTACATAATTCCTAGCCGCTCTCTGTCAATGCCGCAAAACTGGAATCGCGAGGCATTTTTGTTACGTCATATATTTCGTAAATTGTTGTTGACGTAATAAAGTTTCGTCTGGAATCATCAAGATTAAATAAGCATCGTGATGTTGACAACTAAAATTGATGGGCCGTTCTTGAATTATGGATTTGGAACATAATGAATTATGATGTGTTTCATTTACATATTTCATTTGCTAACCCAGATAACTCCACAAATTGAACAATGTTTTAATAATGAGACGGATTAACAGTTTAAAAAATCTGGATCATCATAAGTGACAAGTGTAGGAGTCATGTCATTTAGGAGTTTCGAAGTAGAAAAAATCGGATCTACGGAACTGGATAGATACTGGCAATGAAGGAATCTTCAGATGGGACGTTTATAAATATCTATTCCGAAATTCATAGGAATTCTATTCAGCTTAAAAGTAAGTGTAATTTCGAGATATTTTATCCATTTGACTCGGTGTTCTTGTTGCTTATTTTTCATTTTTTTAAAGTTTTTCATCATGCATTGCAACTAAACTGTTACATCTTGTAGATCCAGCTTTGTAAAATAATCATGAAACGACCCCGAGAACCTCATGTATATTTTAGAAACATAACACGTGTTTTCTCCCGTTCATCTTCAAATGAAGAGTACTTCGGCAATGGCTACGGAAAATAAACAACAGAGATTTTCCATAGAGAAATCAAAATTTGCTTTCACAAGAAAAGTAGACATTTTAGAGTAAAATCCTGAAAAATCTCGAGGGTGACTTTTTTTTAGTTTACAAAAATAGTTAAATTTTCATTCAACCTCGTTTTGTTAATTCACACCAGGCAAAAGTTCATTTCCATTTTTAATGGGACAGACTATAGTAATTGCAAGTCATTGCATTTATAGCCAACATTTTCAAGTCAATGCATTTGTAAGTAAACATTTTTAAGTCAATGTATTCCTAACAAGTTTATAATAAAAAAAACAGCTACAGTAATAATGTTTATTCTGAATATCTTACTTTTCCATCAACAAAACAACAGGTAATTAATCAAAACTATTAGAAAAAGAAATCGTCAGTACAAAAGGTTCATTTAAACAAAAACAAATTGCTTAATAAATGTCTGAAGAAGTCTTATAGTTTGGACATTTATATAATGTCGCGCATTAATTATAATGAATATAAAGTGACAAAAATTCATGATAAAGTTCAAGGTTAGAAAAAAGGTGACACTAAAGTTTAAGGTTGATGTAAAAACGATCATTACCACGTTTTACACCAGAAGTCATTTATTTGATACATCTTGTTTTAAACATTGATACGGTGAGTTGTTTATGAAGAACAACAGCAAGCATTTACGTGTTCACCTCTTTCGGAACCAAACATCTTGCCACACTATTATTTTGTCACTTTCAGCAACACCAAAAACAAATGCATTTACATCTGAGAGTAAAGAATAAGGTAATATATGATTTCGTGTGAAAAATCTACCTTTTGACAAACGTATCCTAACAAACAAACAAATCATCATAATTTTCATGTCATTTATGTATGCACATGTTAACGTTCTCTCGTATATGTCATATATTTTTAAAAAA